CCATTACTTTAAGTTTTTGCCAAGATGCATTTTAGGGCGAACATTACTCTCTGGTGTAAAGTGAGAACATTGGCACCGATGACCTGGGAGTGACCTGGGAGCTGCCTGGGAACCATGTTGTGTGCAGAAGCCAAGTTCACAGTTCCATGTAAGAGACTTGCAGGGGACTAGCGTTTCTCCAGTCATACCTCATCCTACGTCTCTAAGTATTTTCTAATGCAGATTCTTAGGTTTGAATATAGTGCCTCCACCCCATTCCCCCCGAATCCATTACAAAGCTTCATTAAGGTCTAAATAGTCCACTTTTTGTTTTTAGCAGCGCACATGTCGTTTTCTGACACCCGGATGCCCTCTTTTCTAGAATGCTCTGGCCAAAGAGACTGGATATTCAGTAGCAACAAGCTACTTTCTTTCCAGGTCTCCATTCCTCAGTGCTTGGCTTTGTCCTCTTGCCGCCATCCCTCACCCATCCCAAGCCCAATGGTGGACTCATGGCCTGGACCAGTCTCGCCATTTCCCCTCGCTGCTCACAGCCGTCTGGCAGTGCCATTCTCTGTAATGTGGGGTAGATCTGAACCATCTCAAACAAGGCTCACAAAATGCTCCGCTGGAGCTAAGTACTTAACAGCGATGGAAAGTGAAGCATAACTAGTTTTGGGGTGGATCAGTGGCAAAGCTTTAGGGAGGTAGTACTGGTAATAATGCTTTCCTCCTGCAGCTCTTAGCACTGAACACTGTAGGGTTATTGCTACAAGATGGTGAATGGAGCTTCATTCCGGCCAATTTAATTTAACCGCCCCTCCCCCGCCCCCTGCACCCCTGCACTCCCTGGCGGCTGTGGCCCCCTCAAGGAAGGACTATAGGGCTGTAGGACTACACAAGCCCACCACGAGTTTAACATGCTTGGACTACAATTTCAAGTTGCAGAGAAGGGCAAACACATGAGAATTTCCCAAGGCCTGTCCCTGCAGACTGTGCCCAGGGAAAGAGGTGCTACACTCAAGCATCCCATAATATTTATACTCTTCCTGAACTAGCACCTGTTTTTAGCAGCTCACATCAGAAAACAGCCGACTCCACAAACCTAGACCCAAATGGCATTGATTATAAGCTCTCTAGCCACTAGAAAAATAAGTACCAACCAACCAAGAGATACCAGAATGAGAGGTGCTACACTCAAGCATCCTATAATATTTATACTCTTCCTGGACTAGCACCTGTGTGTGTTTTTTTAATTTTTAAAAAATATATTTTATTGATTTTTTTACATAGAGGAAAGGAGAGGGATAGAGTTAGAAACATCGATGAGCTGCCTCCTGCACACACCTCACTGGGGATGTGCCCGCAACCAAGGCACATGCCCTTGGCCAGAACCGAACCTGGGACCCTTCAGTCCGCAAGCTGACGCTCCATCCACTGAGCCAAACCGGTCAGGGCTAGAACTATATTTCATATTTATTTACCCATCAACAGACACTAATTGCATGTTCATTCATGCATTAAATGCAAGGCCAAGTGGACACAAAAACAAGGCAGACCTTGTCCCTGGCCTTCAGGAGCTTTCATTCTCACTGTAAAGATAGACCATAGAAATGTAGTTGTAGTAAAAGGCACTGCAAAGTCTCCACCGTGACACCAAAGTGACCTCTGACTACCCTACTAGTAAGCTGGCTCTTAGTCACGAGTCCTGACCTCTAAGTGGAGTGCTAGTTGACACACAGAAATCTCGGGAAGATGGAAATGTGATAGTTATCTTTCTAATGGACTGACACCTCCCAGTTTCCTATCCTACGTATGGATCACTTAAAAACTTTTTTGGATGTTTCTGTTGGTTCTTCTCTCCTTTTTAAAAAAATATATTTTTATTGATTTCAGAGACAGGAAGGGAGAGGGAGATATAGAAACATCAATGATGAGAGAGAATCATTGATGGGCTGCCTCCTGCACTCCCCCTACTGGGGATTTAGCCTGCAACCCCGGCGTGTGCCCTGATCGGGAATTGAACCGTGACCTCCAGGTTCATGGGCTGAAGCTCAACCACTGAACCACGCACGCCAGCTGGGTTCTTCTTTCTTTCTTTTTTTTTTATAGGCAATATGATGACACCAATTCTCCACTTTACTCCTTGGGAAAGTTGCCCCTGGTTACTGAGTATAAAGATGAGAAAGGAAAGTCTCTTATACTTTAATGTACTCAGGGTCAGAAGGAATATCCTAGTCGTTTTTAAAAAAGAAATACAAAATGCAATGTCCAATGACCTTGGGTACACTCTGACAAGAAATAATGACATTGGGTGCAGAGAGTGCAAGAAAGTGAAGATCTGCTGTTTGCTCGAAGTCAGAGCACAGCGCCCACTGCCAGCGTGGCCACACTCTGCTACAAAAAGCTCAACTACTACGCCAAGAGGCCAGGAATTACTTTAATTTTTTTTTAAAAAAAAGTTTAAACGGCAACACAACCGTCAAGTTGGTACATCACAGAAACAAAGGTCTTGCAGGCAACACTGATCGGGAATAGCAAAACACTGGGTTGGTGAAAAAATGAAACTCTAAATTATATACAATAGTAGCTAAAGGTGATACTGAAAAACAGTCTTATTTACTGTGACTCGAGATTTAACTTGCCATTATCTATTGCTTATTTATTCAGGGTTGTAAATAATACTTATATAGAGACATAGAGATGTGTAAAAATGAAACGTTGTGGAAAAAATACAAATTTTCAATTTTATATGAAACTCAAAGTATAAGTTTTGTCCAATATGGAATGTAGCTATGTTTGTTTATATTAGGGCTCTAATATCTGTTTAAAAATGTTTTGTTTTTAAAAAACAGTCGACCCACCATGCAAGTTCGCTGTAAATCTCGTTTGCTCCAAGTGAGCATTTTTCGGTGAGGTCTGTGTTGTTTGCTCAAAGTCTAGTGTGATCCTTTAAAGATTGTACTGGCCCAACGGTGGAAAGAGTTTCCACGGAGAGTCTGATGGCAGCATCTGGATGAGGGACAGTCTGGGTCACGGGAAGTGAGAAGGGGGAGGGAAGAGCCCAAATCCTTATGAAGGATGACATTCAGTTGTTAAATTTTAAGCGGTACCCGATGGCTTTTTCCAGGCACTCCACTAAAGAGCCCGCGGAAAGGAAATCCCTCTCTACTTCCACAAACTTGATGTAGATGGATTTGGGGGAGACTCCGGGATCCACAATGCAGTTCTGAGACAAAAACCCATTAATACCAACCCAATCTTTGCTGAAGGTTTTGGTATTGGCTTGGAAGTGTAAAAACAAGCACTGCTGCAGAGTCCTGACCTCAGCGATCCCGAGGTAGCAGTAGGTGATCCGGGCGGGTTCTATGGGTGCGGAAAGGGTTTCCAGGTCAACCCTGCCCTCCTTTCCTGGGTCCAGGGAACTCTGCTCCATGTGGGGGGAGGAGGGCCTCTTCAGACATTCTTCATAGCCAATGGCATACAGGCCCGGGCTCTTGGGAATGCCTCCTGGCAATAAATACTGAACGACGTTGCCACCAGTTGGTTTGGAGTGGGCAATGGGGATCCAGTCAATTTCCATGTGCAGCTCCAGGCACCTGGCCTCACTGATAGTGATCTCTAAGAATTTGTAGTAAACATTCTTCCAGTTCATTTTCTGCACGCGGGTCATAATGATCCGCCCCTCGGGCTTCTCGGAGTTGAAGTACTCCCGGAGTCGTTTGCCAAGGGGCACCTGGGAGCTGATCTCAGCATAATGGTAGCGGATATCCTCTTTCCAACGGGTGTTATAACCGATCCCGAAAATGGCCAGTTTATTAGAAAGATGAAGCCTTGAAAAGTCCGTCCAGCTCTGAAACAGTTCCCATTTCAACTGCACTGATTCCAAAATCTGGACGATATTCTGCATGATGTCTCTCTTCCTAGAAAGAGAAATAAAAATCAAATTCCTCAGGGGTCTAGATGGGCATTGTCCATCAGCACTGCCTGCAATGATGGAAGTATTCTCTATCTGTGCTGTCCCGTATGCTAGCATCAGCACTCAGATTGTGGCCAGTGTGAGTGAGGTATTTTTCATTATAATTTTTTAAAATATATTTTATTGATTTTTTACAGAGAGAAAGGGAGAGGGACAGAGAGCTAGAAACATCGATGAGGTGGCCAGTGTGAGTGAGATATTTTTCATTATAATTTGAAATTACGGTTCGATAAACACATGTGATTAGTAGCTTCCATATGGGTCAGGGCAGGTTGAGATAACCATAGTATAAAATCCGAGAACACTCTCCCCTAGGAAGTTTCTAGGAATGAATGATAAGCTGCTTTCCGTTACTTATACAGGCTGGCTGTATTAACCTTTGCATCTATTGCTATGTACTAGTAAGACCCTAGGACTTCAGAACCCAAGGATCATGAATTGTTTTAAGTGACTATTATAATGCACATGATGGCCTTCAGACCTAACCAAGAGCAAGTGGAGAAAGCTGTATTCAGAAAGGTATCCACCTTGAGAACATTATGCTAAGTGAAATATGTCAGTCAGAAAAAGCTAAGAACCGTTTGATTTCACTCATATGTGGGATATAAAACTGAAACTCGTTAACACAAACAGCCGTATGGTGGCTGCCAGAGGGAAGGGAGTGGGAGTAGAAGGGAGTCCTAATATAAGGTGAGAGGAGAAGATTTGGCTTAGGGTGGTGGGCACACGGTGCAATATACAGATTTTGTAACACAGAAACCCACACCTGAAACCTGTATGATCATGTTGAACAGTGTCATCCCAATAAGTCAAAAAAAGAGAAAGGTAAACAGTATCATTTAAAATAATGAACATCTTAATTTCAAAGCTGGAAATTCTGAAAATGCAATAATTTTGGCGATACATGCTTGCAAAAAGAAAATGGCATTTTCTTCTATTTGTAGAAGAAATTCATTACCTCTTCCAAACTGAGAAGAACTGTTAGTTCAACACAGATTTAAGATCTGAGAATTCAGATGTAAAAGGTCCATATTAGGCTTAGCTTTTAAGAGATAAAAATTTAAGATAATGAGACCTGGTTGGATGGCTCAGCTGGTTGTAGTGTCGTCCTGTACACCAAAAGGTTATGGGTTCCATTCATAGTTAGGGCACATACCTACATTTCGAGTTCGATCCCCAGTTGGGGCACGTACAGGAAGCAACCAATTGACCTCTCTCTCTCTCTCTCTTCCTTCTTTTCTAAAATCAATAAAAGAACACGTCCTTGAGTGATGATTAAAAAAAATTCAAGATAATGAATTGAGACTCTTCTAGAAAATATTTTATAAAGGGAAAAAGTAAAGAAATTTTGATTTGGATAATTAACAAAGATATGACAGAAAAGGCAGGGAATTCTTTCCGCATATGCTGCTGAACTCATATTACTGTAACTGATATCCCATGATTCATATATATGTGGGGATATGCAATTACAGGTTTGCTTCTCAGGTATGGCAAATCTTTGATATTGGAAGATTGAAGTTTGTTAAATATTAACTTAGCAACCAACTACTACCCTCCTACAACAATTATAGTCTTAAGCTACAAAAATACTCAACTAACCACTCACGTTCCATCAAACGTATGCAAGAAAGAGGGTGTATGTGCCGTTTATTAGCTTCTTGAGAGGAGACAGACCCTGGAAACTTCCTATTAAATTCTCAAATCTTCCAGGGGAAAAGCTTTCGCAACACTGAGGGATCTCCATGCAGTCATTCTCAGCCTGACCTCTTACTCTCCTTGACTTTCTTTGCGAGATGACAAAGATGTGACATATTTTGCTATCAGCTGCTTCTTGAGGCCAAAAAGTGCCCTGGATTTTCCTCCACCCTCCAGGGTGCCTTGAGAGCTTCTCAAGCGTCAGAGTGGCCATCGAGATGAAGTCACTGTGTTCCTGGGAACTTGTCCCTCTTCTCAGAGGACACAAAGGCACTTGGCCACTTTTCTAATATTTATAATGTGCTACTTGTGAGGTTAAGATATAGGACCAGGTTTCTCCATGGGTCAATGCTTTAAAAAACATGCACCCAAAAACTTATTTCAGAGCCACCATCCTTCCTTGTCCTCTTTTGAAATATTCTTTAAAATGTATTTTTATTGATTTCAGAAAGGAAGGAAGAGGAAGAGAGAGATGGAAACATCAATGATGAGAGAGAATCATTGATGAACTGCCTCCTGCTCGCCCCCCACTGGGGATCGAGTCCACAACCTGGGCCTGTGCCCTCCCTGGGAATCAAACTGTGACCTCCTGGTTCATAGGTCGACATTCAACCACTGAGCCATGCCAGCCAGGCAAGAGCGTGCTTTTTGATTCCCAAAATGTAATCTAAGAAATGTATGTGTCCTCTAGCCCTCCTATCATTTTTACTAACATCAGATAAACTCAGGGTTCTGTGACTCATCTTTCCATCTTAGTAAAACATCCAGGTATCCAGATCCACACACAGGCTTCTTTTCATGTAACATATTTATTTCTTCTTGTTGTGTATAAAACTCTCACCATTTTAGATTAACCACTGGGAAGCTGAAGCTAAGGGAGTGAGGAAGAATGACTAGACAGGCTTCCGCAGTGAGATGGCGGAGGAAGCACCTTCCCATTACACCGAGATGAATACGTTTGTAGAGAGGGGAAGCGTCTACTTACTGTGCTTCTTCAGAAGACTCTTGTTTGATTTTTAATGTTCTCTTTGTGACAGGTATTTCATCTGAAAAGCAAAGTTTTGGAAACAGGTTATATTCTCCTAAGTGGTGGCATACATTTATGTAGATAAGTAGCTATATGTTTACTGTTCATCCACACATCCCAATTCGAGGACTTGATTCTAGTCTCAAATGCTGCCCAATGCCAGATTTATAAATATAACTCTTTTATAATGAGATGCATACATTTATATGCAAGATCAGAAACCAGCTCTACAAGTAAAAAATTCTTCAAGGTCACCAGTAGATTTCTAGCTGGGAGCTTAAAGCTTAATTTCTCCACAAACATGATTTTTAAAGGAACAAGAATGAAAATAATTCTGCGAGATTTAGATTTTGTATGTAGGTTTTACAGAGGAATTATTTCCCCCATATCAGGATCCACATATTCTGCATGTTATTTTTCTCCCAAAGATTTGGGTGACTTAAATCTCTCTGGCAAAACCAGAGTTATGGGATGCCAAAGTAATTCAGACCGTGTTACTGTTTTGAAATGAAGAGATAGTAATCGCTTAGCATCTGCCCTGTTTGTTCTTCTAATCTTTCTTTTTAAAGAATAATTGATTGATTTTTAAAGAGAGAGGAAGGAAGAGGGAGAAAGAGAGAAACATTGATGTGAGAGCACATCAATGGGCTGCCTCCTGCACACCCCCCACCAGGGATCGAGGCCACACTGGGCATGTGCCCTGACTGGCAATCCAACCAGCAACCTCCTGGTGCATGGGACGACACTCAACCGAGCCACACCGGCCAGGGCTTATTCTTCCAATCTTAAAGTCTCTCTCTTCAATTGTGTTAGTCCTACAGTTATATAGCCTCTTTCTTCTCTCCCTCTCTCTTCCAATATTTGAGATTAAACAAACAAACAAACAAAAACAGCATTCATGAGAAACTTCCAATATTTGAGATCAAACAAACAAACAAACAAACAAAAACAGCATTCATGAGAAACACAAGCATTTAATACTGTTTCTTTTGAATTAGCATCAGGAATGATGATCGAGTAATGCTAATTATCTTGAGCTGGAGAAGTACACCGATAGTGCCAATCCTACTATACTTTCTCACTGGCGAGTAACAACATTTACTTGTGAGTACTCATCACACAACTCGCCATTAAGCTATAATGGCTGCAGCAGAAACGTGGATAGGACTTCCACATCATGAAAATCAAAAGTGGGGCATTTACTACAAAAAGCCACTTACATAGACCCTCTCAATGAGGCCACACAAGCTCGGCTTTGAGGGCCAGGAGCTTCATTTCCATTCTAAACGTTAAGATTGTGGTCAATCATTTCAGCTGTTGCTGGAATCCTTTGTGAAGTGTGAAGGGATATGACTGCCGAGAAAGCTCAAATATGAGCCCTTTTTAAGATAAATCGAGGCTTCCCTTCATATTTTGTTCAGACCGAAGTCTGGGAGGGGACCGTTTCCAAATCACAAACAGAAAAGGAAAAAAAGATAGTTCATCTCTAGCAGTTGAGCCAAGAGTCAGTACTCGTGGCAGTCACCGTAGAACTAAGAGCTGCGGGGTATTTCAAACCGCATAGGATTCTGCCACCAAGCTTCCTGTGTAGCTCAGGATGAGGAATTCTTCTGTGGATTTAGGATGTTTGCTGGTACCCAAGTCAGCAAATGACCAACACCAAGCACTCGCTGGTAGTTTAAGGCTAAATCAAGGCCGCCCAGAGTGCCCCAGATTAACGGGCTACATGCCTTGTGCTGACAGTAGGGACAGTACCAGTCCCGGTACACACATGAAGGTACACACACACACACAGACACAGACGAGGAGCAGATACGTCGGCTTTCTTACCCAATTCCTGATCTGTTGGGTAGCCATGGAGATCCTGACTGTGGTTTCCCCAGTCCTCCTGTGAATACTCCTCCATAGTGCTGCCATCTGACTCCAGCTCCTGGTACAAGCCACTACTGTTAATAAGTACAGGCTGGCAGGGCTGAGCATCCCATCCTCCCTGACCAAACACCTGTTCCAACTGTTCAAATGTGTAACTGCTCTTTCTTTTCCCAACACCATGTTCTTTCACCCGACTGTAACACCTGCGAAGGGTCTAAGACACAAAGTCTTTTGTTATTCCTTTAAAGCTGTCCTTCCTCTTCCAGGTACGGACCACAGATATTAATTACTATGAGACAGACACAGACAGACAAACACAGACACATTGTTACAGGAATGCTAGATTTCAAAATCATTATTATATTAGAAAAAAAAATTACTAATTTAGCATTTACTCAAACATGTTATCATTCAAACAATTACTTTGCAATTAATTATCCATTAAACAAGAATCATTACAACATTATTGCATGTACCCCATACACATATTTTTATACCCCCTCCCCCACTTAAAAAGAATAAGGAAAAAAAAAAAGAAAACAAGAAATACCAGCCAGCCAATAGGATGCACACCTGCCACAGAAGAGATAGAGCTGCTTTGGGGCCAGAATTGGGAAAAAGTGAGGGAGGGAGGACAGAAAGGAGAGTTCCCTGAAGCAAAGAATATAACCTTCCTTACTCTTGATTAAGAAGGGATACAGGGTAAAAACAATCCCCTAAATGAAGCAACTAGGAAACCGTATTACTCAGATGGTCCATATCCCTCACTCACTCACTGTCTTTGGGGAAGCTGCTAAGATTTAAGAGAGGTCAAATCAATCATGCTACCAATTCCCTGTCTCAAACATCAATTATCAAGAAACAATATACCTACATCTAAAAATTAGCCAGTAAGACTCATCTATTCTACCAATTCAAACTGCCAGCCAAACAAACCAACACATGAGGCTGCTAATTTCCTTTTTGGGGGGAAAATGAGGTAGAGGGGTGTTACTTCATTTATATTTCTGCCTTTTAACGCAGAGCAATTAAATATCATTCTGCAAGTCCACATATAAAACCTGGATAACTTTATTATCTTACACAACCCTTCCATCTTCTTCATGGTCTTCTAAGGCATAGTTCTTATTATTAGCTCAGTTTCCTTAGTTGAACGATATTGCAAAGGCTACATCAAGGACTTGGTCCCAGCTTCCAAATTTAGTTTAGTTGCTCTCAGTCTCTCCCCCATCTCTGCCTCCATGTTCCTTCTACTTGACTGGGTTTCACCCTGAGTTTCCTTGAGACAAGACCCTTTTTCTCTGGTGGCTCCCAAATACTTTCTAACACGCCTGCACAAAAGCAGTTCGCCTCAGACTTCAATACATGCACTTGCCAGACTATAAATGTCTCCTACATGTGAGATGGCGTCCCATAAGCCAACACATCACCTGTTCTCACCAAAAGCCTTTACAGAACCTCCATGGAAGTTCAGTGTCTCTAAATCGCAGTTGACAAACCACAAGACACTCCATAAAATACTCTGCGGATCTTCTCTTGATGCCGGAAACCCAGATGGGATAATAAGAGCATGGCACTTAGGACGACATTCCTCAGACACAAACAGAGTGGTGGTCAGCATCACCCTGTCCCCAAACCAGCCAGCCTGCCCCTGCATGAGCACCTTCCTCCCTCTTCCTCTCTCGAGATCTCTTCTGCCTCCACTGGTGCCTCAAAGAACTGAGGTTTCTCTTCATAAGGGATGGTCACAAGGAGCAGCTCCAAGTCTCTAGCACAAGTGAACTGGGGAGGCGTCACGGGCAGCCCTTCAGGGGAAGGACACAGATGCCTGCACAGAGATCCGTGGATTCTCTGCTCTCTCCCCCATGCTCTCTGCCCTCCTGGCAGAGACGGGAACTGGAATTGCAAACATCTGCCAATTTATTTTTATCTCACAATGTCTAGTTGCTGCCTCCAAGAACACCCCAACCACGCTTTATGACTCCTCAAGGACCGTACATGGAGAGTCCCAGCCGTGTCCCTTTCACCCTCCAGGGCCATAAATGGATGTGGGAACCGTGCCACCACCGCCTGGCTGCCTGAGAAAAGCACCCGGCACAAGAAAGGGACCAGTGGGCTGTCACTGAGGGCTAGTCCCGAAGTCAGGAAACACAACGGATGTTCCTTTGAAGAAAGGGGCCACACTTATCAGGCCGTGACATGGGCATAAACAAAGCCACCGATTTCTGACCCTATAGTGGGAAACCACAGGAAAGACTGAAACCACCAAAGTGGCTTAAATTCACTGTGTAACTGTGCATAAGAAAACCAGTCATATCGAATGGTCTTAGATATGGAAGCACGGTCAGAGGATGCATTTGATATGTCTCGCTTGGTAGTGTACTTGTGAAATACACTTTAATAGTTAATATGCTGGTATGTAAAACATCTAGTAGGGTCTGAAGGAAAAATGCTTGGTGATCCTCAATCGTTATGATAAAATTTGATGTACTGAAATGTGAAAAACATTTCCAAATTGATTTTAACTCTCAAAACATAAATACATATGAGGTATCTTGTAGGTTCAGCAAAGATTACAGATCTAAGGAGAAGCTGTTGAAATAGGACATAGAAAAAAAAGTAAGAGCTCAAACTTCAGCTTGACCGCTACCGTAAGAAACCAGAGGGATTTAGAAATGGATCAAAAGGACACGGAGGTGTCCTCCCCGATTCTTACCTCCCATAAACCAGACAGGTTACACCTTCCACACTCTCAATGGTTAACCAAAGCATACACTGAAACAACGGCGTCTGAAGTCCTACGCAGACCAGCTTAAACACCTACTCTAAATCTGAAGTTAAGACAATGCTCCAGAATCTAGAAAAAACAGTCTCGCCTCCCATTTCTGACAGCTGCACCAAACCCAGTGAGATCCTCACGTTAGCTTTTCCTGGAGAACCAGTTCCTATTTCCTGCTCAGAACAATCGCCTTGTTTCCCTTCCTTCTTCCTTTACCTCACTCCTCTGAGAAATTTATAGTGACTTAAGCTCTATTTTTTTTTAAGCTCTAGCATTAAAAACAACAACAGCAACGAATATCTTAGGGGGGAAAGAATTTGCTTAAAATTATTAAAGACCATTCTATTCTCAATTAAGAAGACCGTTTTCCTTGTTGTTAGAAATTTCCATGGTAAACAAACCCCCGGACCCCTCCCCCAGGGAAGAGCTGTGAGATACAGGGCATCTTGAATGAGGTCACAGGGATGGAGGTCAGGAGGAGCTAAGGAAACCTGAACAGAGGCCCGAGAGTGTAGGTAACAACTTGAGTCGGTGGTCAAATCAGAAGACTTCCCAGGTATTGATCGCGAAGCAACGCCAGGCGAATGCTTACTGAATCCCGTGCCAGCTGTACAATGATCACAGAAGGAAAAGAACCAGAGAGAAGACTTGAAAGGTGTCCCATTACCAAAGCAGGGAGACAAATCAGAAGGCCGACAACCGACAATTTATAGACAGAGGGAAAGTGTTGCCCGAGTTTAAGATTAGACTGAAAAGAAACGAGAGAATAAAGATGACATTCATTGTGGATGAATGTAAGGGGAGTCTACGGGGGTGGGGGGAGGGCAGGTAAACGAAAGCAGGGATTTGAGATGGGCGGGGTTGGGGGTTTCACGCAGCAATGCAGAGAAAGACCCAGGGTTACAGTACACGGAACATTAAATACAGTGCACAATGCAGCTATCTTGCCAAAGTAAGTAAATCCAGTATTGGGTTGGATAAGCAGAGGAATCACATGTAAGCTATGAAGGTGGCTCTTCCTCTCTATTCAGCACCGGTGAGGCCACAGCTGGAGCACAGCATTCAGTTCTGGGCATCGAACCAGCTACAAGAGAGGGAAATTGTAGAGTTCAGAAAAGGGCAAATAATATAACGAAAGGCTTGGAAAATAAGATCTGTAAGTAGGGCCAGTGGTTTCATCAAAGCCTTTTCTGCCGTCACAGAAGCTACTTTGGGGATACAGACAAGGTTTCTTTTGCCTCAGTGTCCTCCAATTCCTCCTTTAACTGTCAGGAAGTGGGAAGAACTGCATTCTTCCGTGGTGTGGCAAGGTCGGAAGCAAGCTAAGCCAATCGTATGGGCATGTGCCAACTAATTCTGCTACCGGCTCAACTGTTTTCTCAAAATGTACCCCCGTTTCATTCAATCATAAAGTAAGCACCATGACAAAACCACTGTTCTAACAGAAGTGACTGCGGGTGGGACGGCATACAACGAGGAGGGAGAGCATATGAACGTATTGTGTAGTCTGAGAGGTCGGATGAAAACTCAAGTCCGACCCTGGGAGGACAGCTTGGTTATAACAGCAGGAAACAATGTTATAAGAAAAAACAAGCAGTGAAACAGATTTCCAAATGGAGCTGCCAAACTGGCCATTCTAGAAATGGGTCACGTAGTTTATCTTAACACTCTGCCAACTAACTATGACACGTTTGAGATCCTTTTAACCCAACTGATTGAGTAAAGAATACACTTATTTGCAAACAAAGTCTTAAAAATCATATATTATGTTCCACCGGAAATGGGGGAAATTACTGGGAGTAATTCTCCAATGACTGATTATAAAAGTGTTGAGAACAATTCCTCTGCCTACACAGATGTGTATTTTGAAGCAAAAAAGTCTTTGTGAAACAGATCTATCTTCTTCCTTTAAGTTAATTACCACTTTATTGTAATTAGTTACTCTTAGTTAATTGAGGCAAAAAAAAACCAACACCGAGTTCATTCAAAATCTTTAAGACTCAAAATTTATTTAATTAGTTTTATTTTCTGACTGTGAGTACAAAGGTAGGAAAGGAAAAAAACCTGAAAGAAACATTTCTGTGCACAGTAAGAGGGATATTAAGACTATAGTATGAATATCTATCTATCTATCTATCTATCTATCTATCTATCTATCTATCTATCTATCTATCGAGATGTAACTAATGATTAGGGCATCATCTAAGGCAAAATCCATCCATCTGGGGCCAGCAGAACTTGTCTCTATTTCCTTAGGGTTTTATACATTAAAATCTGGCAAACTAACTTGCCAAATCATCTAAATCCTTTAAAACCAACCAAACACCCCTTCCCCCCAGAAAAGCACACCCACAAAAATACATTCCTTGTTTCACACTCCCATAGTTCTTAGGGAAACATAGGACGTTCTGGCAAATGAAAGATCTATTCTTAAATTTTCCTTTTCCTTTTCCTCTCCAGAGAAGAGTCTTAACTGTTTTGAGTCATGGATTTCCTCCCCCAAAAAATACATACAAGACAATTTCAAGGGGAACATGGACTCTGTGAAGAGCCCATAACAAGAACCTCATTTTAAAAAACTGCTCTGTACCATGTGGTTGTTTCCTCCATAAAAGAATGTAACAGGAAGTAGCCAGAAATCCTAAGGTAGATTTCATTCAAGTCTTACATTTTACAAGAGAGTCTAAGAATTGGGGCATCCAGTTTAAGTACAATTTACCCACCTTACTCACTATTCTGTTCATTTAGATAAATCACCATTAATATTTTCTTTAAGAGGTAAATTAGCCAAACTCCCCTGTTTCTTGAAAGAAGCATACAAGGTTATCAACTTACTCTTTAACAAAATATAGTACTTTTTCTATTTCCTGGGAAAGAAATCTTTTTCTGAAGTGGCAGTTAAGCAATACTACACAACTCAGAGTTATGCTGGTTACCTGTTCCGACTGTATCACATCGTACTGGAGCATTCAGTATCTGATTAACATCAATATCGATGCTAGATAAATCTCCCAAGATAACAACTTAAAACAGGGACATTCCCATATCTAGAAACAAGCACGGACATGAAATTAAGTCTTAGTAGTCACAATGGCCAAGCTTTAACATCTTCCCATTTTAACACTAAAGGGGTCTCAAAGGATTAGGCACCGCCTACTTACTGAATCCTTAACCCAATGGGATTATTCCGTTGAAACTGTTCATATTATGGTCAGCAATGTCTTCTTAATTAAGAAAAATGGTCCTCAACCTTAGTCCTTAACTCATTTGAGTTTCCCGAGCATTCAATACTATTCATTATCTGTGTTCCTATCCTTGCCAAATATCTCTTATAAAACTTTCTATAATAGCCCGACTGGCGTGGCTCAGTGGTTGAGCGTTGACCTATGAACCAGGAGGTCACTGTTCGATTTCCGGTCAGGGCACATGCCTGGGTTGCGACCAATGATTCTCTCTTATCACTAATGTCTCTCCCTCTCCTTCCTCTCTAAAATTAATAAAAATATATTTTTAAAAAACCTTTCTGTAATCTACTGATTGACTGGGGGTTGTTGGAGCTCCCTAAGACTCTAATGACAAACCAGTTCCCAACTTCCAAAATCTTATGGAAGTTCTAAAATGGAAAGAACCTTAGAGATCACCTAGTCCAGTGAGGAGCCAAGGCCCCAAGACAAATAAGTATTCCTTCCAAAGAGACCTGGCATATAAAAACCACCAGGTGGCGGCTGACCGGCGTGGCTCATGGTTGAGCTTCAATCTACGAACCAGGAGGTCACAGTTCGGTTCCCAGTCAGGGCACATACTGGGGTTGCAGGCTCAATCCCCAGTGGGGGGCATGCAGGAGGTACCTCATCAATGAGTCTCTCTCATCTTTGATGTTTCCATCTCTCTATCCCTCTCCCTTCCACTCTGAAATCAATGAAAAAAAAAGTGTGTGTGTGTGTACGTATATATATACATATATACATACATATATATACATATATGTGTGTGTGTGTGTGTGTGTATATCTATATCTATATCTATATCTATATCTATATCTATATATGGGTCTATTTCCAGATTTTCTCTTCTCTTCCATTAATCCATTTGTAGTTGGTTATGTCAGAAACAAATATACCAAACTTCCTTGATTACTATGTCATTAACTTGTTAAAATTATAAACTTATTTCTTCCATCATGTTGTTTTTCTATTATTATGACTACTCTATGTTCTTTGCATTTTCAAAAATTTCAGAGTAACTTTTGTTAATGCCTACGTGTGTGTGTGTATATTACCAAGTGCCACCCACAAAATGTTGAATGTTTCCTCTAGATTGTGAGCTCCATGAGGTAGGGATTATGTCTGCCTGTTCAGTTTCTCTGAGCCCAGAAAAGGACCTATCAGATAAGGACTGGTCAATATATTTATTAAGTAAATGAATTACTGTAACTTTTTAAAAAAAATACTTTTTTATTGATTTCAGAGAGGAAGAGAGAGATAGAAACATCAATGATGAGAGAGAATCATTACTTAGCTGCCTCCTGCACAACCCCTATTGGGAATAGAGTCTACAACCCGGACATGTGCCCTGACCAGGAATTGAACCGTGACCACCTGGTTCAACCACTGAGCGACACTGCCTGGATTGAATTAAGGTAACTTTGAAGTAGTAAACTACTTAGCAAGAAGATGAAATTTTCTTAGCAAAGAAAATCAGGAACTCATTTAACCATGATGGTAGATTTTATTTATAAAATCAATAAATCAAAGCAGGTAGGGCTCCTAAAATCTTTTGAAAAAATCAGGAGCAGAAAGGGTATTAAAAAAAAATACAGTGCTATAATTAGCAAAGCAAATTAATTTCTTTGTAACAAAGGAAGACTAACTGCAAAGGTCAAGGCTATTTTAAAAATATCTAACATACTGCCCTGGCCGGTTGCTCAATGGTTAGAGCATCTGCCCACACACTGAAAGGTCATAGGTTCGATTCCCGAGCACTTACCTGGGGTGTAGGTTTGATCCCTGGCCCAGTTGAGGTGTGTGCAGGAGGCAACCAATTGGTGTTTCTCTCTCACATGGCTGTTCTCCCTCCCTTCCTCCCTCCCTCCCTTCCACTCTCTAAAAAAATCAATGGAAAAAATATCCTCGGGTGAGGATTAACGACAAAAAATAATAAAAATATCTATCATTCTCATTATATTTTTCTTGGAGCTGGGGGTCACCTGCCAAATGAAGCTCTACAGCCTTGTCCAAAGTTTATTATTTCTTATGCCCTACAAATTATAAAAAATATTTCTAAAATATAGAGTAGTTCGGTCAAAGATAGAAAAAGAAAAAGACTGGAGGTGTTTCCTGGATTTTAATCGGGTTAATCGGAAGAATGAGCACTGGAAACCGAGATCTTCCCTCTCCAGAGGACCATCCCCTCAGCCTTCTCCCCCCTTCTCTGGGGAACTGTCCCGGACTGAATTCTACCAGCTTGCACTTCCTCCTGAATCTGGCTATCAACAACTCATTAAAATGTGTGTGTGTGTGTGTGTGTGTGTGTAAATATATATATATATGGTTTTTACTGATTTCAGAAAGGAAGGGAGAGGGAGAGAGAGATAGAAACATCAATGATGAGAGAGAATCATTGATTGGCTACCTCCTGCAAGCCCCACACCAAGGATCAAGCCTGTAACCCAGGCATGTGCCCTGATTGGGAATCAAACAGTGACGTCCTGGTTCATAGATGATGCTCAACCACTGAGCTCAGCAACTCATTTTTATGTCTATAACTGGTCAGTACGATCTTTGCGAAAGACAGATTCTTGCATAGAACAAATAATTCGGGAAATTTTGATTTTCAGTGAGTATCAACCCCTAAGTTTTCTGGGTTCCTCCACACTAGCAGTGAGGGTCTTGTGTCAAAGAGGACAATACTTAAAAAACAAACATCTTTCATTGCTCAAGGAACTACATTCACATGGCCATAAAGCTTTAACCTTCCACTGTGGGTAAATCATACAATACTCAGACAATAGCTCATACTGCCAACAATACTATAAAAGCCATACCTAATATGCGTGGTCATGTTCAAGGGTTTCTTTGGGATACAAGAATCCTTCTAGACATGGAATCAAGTGTTTTTCTATTTAAAACAAGACAGGTTAAAAAAATTAGGGTATCTTGAATTACTTAACCATTTCTGCCATAGGCAGCAACAAGTGGTTACAGTCATCAAAGAGTGTCAGATAACACTACTTGTCTAGAACTTCTTTCCCATAAAGGGGAAAAAATCAGTTGTTTGGTAAAGAACTGACTTGCATTAGAGGTTATTTTCATCTGACCTCCTATATCACCTCTACAGTTGCTACATCAGCATCTCTTGAATTTTTTTCTCAGTACTTCACACTCTGGGGCACCACCTCAAAGTGGTATTTAAGATGATATTAAAAATGTTAACTTTTAGTAGCATCTTATAACTGAAAAACACATTCAAGAGAATTATCTAAAATATTTCTAGGATAGCAGAGAAGAATCATTCATCTTTAAAGGCCTCCCATACAAACGGCCTGCATTACGCACTAACTGTTCCATAGTCAACCATGTCTAAATATTAAGATTTCCACATGCACAAGCATGTACACACATACCAAAAAACTCCACAGCTGTATCATTACAATGATATGTGTATTGTATTGTATTGTATTGTATTGTATTGTATTGCTTCCCAAACACGATGGTACATTCTTCTATTCATGAGACCAATGTTTAAAAGGGAAACTGTGCAGAGCAGCTCCCCCCCCCCACCCAAATAGTAGGCTATTCTATTCCTTTCATATGCTGATGATGTTATTCTCTCAGTTTTATAGTTATTTTCTTATTAATGTGGATCCTGAGAGAGAAGATACCTACTAAGAAGGGCTCCCAATGGTTAATGGGGCTCAAATTAAAAACAAAACAGATCCTGGCCAGGTAGCTCAGCTGGTCAGAGCATTACCTGGACACACCAAAGCTCCAGGTTCCATCTCTGGTCAGGGCACATATGAGAAGCAACCAATCAATGAATGCACAAGTAAGTGGTGTCTCTCCCTCTTTCTTTCTCTCCTCCCCCCTCAAATACATTAAAAAAGGAAGGAAGGAAGGAAGGAAGGAAGGAAAACAGAGCCTAGCACCATTTCTATGCAGGGCCTGAGGGAGAAGCCTGCACTAGCTGCCTGCACCCTTCACAGAGCGGTTTGCCTGCGCTGTGTTCCTGCCATCTGAGCCGGCCTTTATGAAGGAGTTCTCAGAATCGTATTTCAACCAACAGGACTGAGACTTTCTCCACCTAATTAGAGATACACAGCTATATCCCCATCAGCTTCTTCATAAATCAGAGGCTCCATTCTGACCAATCAGGACAATGTCCTTTGGACCAATCAAACCGTGAGGATTTAGAGTCCTGGGACTTCTATCTATATAAGTCAGCTCACCTCTGATTCTGGAAGTGCACGTTCCCTTTCCACTTAAGACTGTGGCTGAAACACCAAAGATCTCTCTGGAGCAGACTAGGAAGGCATACACAGACAGAGCAGACCAGCAAGGAGCAGAGCAGAGCTGTCTAGCTGGACAGGGGCCTTGCCTCAGGGCCTCCTAACAGCAGTACTATTTTCACAGACATGCTGTGTCACAACTGAGCTGTTTGCACTAAATAAAGTTTCCTTCACTGCATCCAACCTGGGGATTCCTGTTGGTGTTGAACTGATGCCAATGACCTGACCTTTGATGACGCTGAAAATTACTATCTACCCCAGTGGTTGAGTGCTGACCTATGCACATGCACCAGGAGGTCACGGTTCGATTCCCAGAGAGGGCATATGCCCAGGTTGCGGGCTCCATCCCCAGTGTAGGGTGTGCAAGAGGCAGCCAAACAATGATTCTCTCTCATCATCGATGTTTCTATCTCTCTCTCTCTCTCTCCCTCTCTGAGATCAATCAAAATATATATTGAAAAAACAAGAACAAAAAAAACCCCTACCATCTCTAATGCAAAAATAACCTGTAATACAGATTTTTCCGTTAGTAAATTTTAAGTGTTGTTTGTGAAAAAAATAATCTTGACACTTGGATAAAATCATGTAAAAATTAAGGTTTCGTAAATCCTCCATCAAGATATCTAGGGAATGCCCTAACAGGTTTGGCTCAGTGGATAGAGCGTCGGCCTGTGGACTGAAGGGTCCCAGGTTAGATTCCGGTCAAGGGCGTGTACCTAGGTTGCGGGCACATCCCCAGTGGGAGGTGTGCAGGAGGCAGCTGATCGATGTTTCTCTCTCATCGATGTTTCTAACTCTCTATCCTTCTCTCTTCCACTATGTAAAAAATCAATAAAATATATTTAAAAAAGATTTCTAAGATATCTAGGGAAAAGCATTAAGTCAAGATTCAGTCAATTGTGTGTTTTTATGTGTGTTTTTTAAAAAAGGGCAAATATTGAATTACTTCAAAAAGTGTGGGGTTTTTTTGCATTTACATGATATAAATTACAGGTAATAAGTGTGTGAAAAGAACACATCTGACACATACCCTTCCTAGGAAAACCTGAAAATAGGCATGTTTTAAATTTATGCACTTATTCTTGGGCAACCTGAACTTATTTAGAAAGTTGTTAGAAAGAAATTCAAGTAATCATTATACATGGTTTTTAAAAAATCTTCACCCAAGGACATATTCATTGATGAGAGAGAGAGAGAGAGAGAGAGAGAGAGAGAGAGAGAGAGAATATGAATCATTGATGTGAGAAACATCGATCGGTTGCTCCCCTATTTGCTTCTGACTGGGAATCAAACTGGCTACCTCTTGGTGTATGGGATGATGCTCCAACTAAGCCACTAGGCCAGGTCAATCACACTTTTTATAGCTCATTTGGTAGCATTTTAATATTTTATTATCTTTATGAGGATTGCTAAAAGCAATGGCCATATAAAAACAATGTCTATACTTCTACAAAAATCAAACATTTTCCATATATGGCTTAATGTCCCATGTAATGAAAGGAAACCATTACTATTTTCTCAGTGCCTACTGTGCGCTGAGACTGGGGCTAAACAGTGTAAATTTATTATTCCTAATTTTGATTATAAAGCTAAAAGAGAGGGTCCCAGAAAACACTCTGAGGAGACTGTGTGCAGGAGGCTTACTTGTGAGACCGAGAGGAGCAGCACCGGGCAAAGAAGCTGAAGTTGGAACAGAGGCTTGGGCTAATCCCAGAGTGGGGTACGGAACCTCCATGCCCCTTCAGAGCTGTCCTGAACTGACGCAAGGAGGCCGTCCCTTTGTATTTCAGCACTGACCAGTCAGTGGACTCAGGCCGCCACAGGACAGGGAGCCTAACCTTGGGGAAGACAGCTCCCTCGGGCAAAGAGAAATTCCCCGGAGGAATCCAACCAGAAGCCATCATCAATCAGCGCTCCGGGCAGCTGGGGGGACTGACTCACGTCTCATTCCTGGAGGAGGAATCTGGGCAGTGTTATCACATAAGCACAAGGGATTTGTGATGCATCCTTATTTAACAGAAAAGAGAACTAAGAGGTAGCAACTTATTCAAGGTCACTATCAGAGTGTATTCAAATGTAAATTAATCTTTGGTTTCAGAACTAGAACCTGGCATGCTTCTCTTCAGCAGACATTGAAAAGTATATAGTCACTGTATTTACCTTTCTGCTGAGAAGTTTATAGCTCATTTTAATATTTAGCTAAAGTAACCATATTTACACGGATTATTACTATACTCTGCACTGATTTCTTTTCTGATTCTTATTTAGCTTTCTTCACATGCATATCACTTTTGTTAGTACATTCATGTGATTTATTACAAAACAGTCCATCTCATCCCCGTCACCTCTTGGGAAAAGGGGGACAATGGCAGGCATAAGGTAATGGACACTCCAAGGCCACAACCTTACCTGCTTTTACTGTCAAAAGGTAATTCTACTTTGTAAACTTTTCTCTTTCTATAATGCAAGCTTATTTCCTTTAAGAGGAGTTGGGAGTCCAATAAATACCATCATTTTTATAAAGACTTGAATGAATGATTGAACGTCTTCTACAATAAAAGTTTTGTTTGTTTCACCCTAGCCGGTTTGGCTCAGTGACTAGAGCGTCGGCCTTCGGACTGAAGGGTCCCGGGTTTGATTCTGTTCAAGGGCACATGCCCAGGTTGCGGGCTCATTCCTGGTAGGGAGCATGCAGGAGGCAGAGATCCATGATTCTCTCTCATCATTGATGTTTCTATCTCTCTTTCCCTCTTCCTACCTCTCTGAAATCAATAAAATATATATATATAAATGCATACACACACACACTGAGTGGCCAGATTATTATGACCACCCCATCAGTACAATGAAGTGAATTAGTTATGCAAATAATAATAATAATAAAACCTTGAGAGTATTTGCTTAGGAAGTTTTTAATATTCATTATTTTTGGAAGTATCAATGAAGTACTGATGGGGTGTTCATAATAATCTGGCCACTCAGTGTATCTGTATGCCTATGTGCTATCCCAAATTTAACTTACCTAAAACTCAATGCTTGAGTCCCCTATCTTTCTTATTTTTATTATAAAAATGTAAAAGATATATGAAAGTAATATGTGTCTTAATGACAAAGAGTAAATGTTACATTTCTGGCATAAATAACCTTAACCAAGTAAAGTTAATCACCAATAATGGGACAAACATACATGGTGTGACTCATGATATGATACACTGAGAACACAACTTCTATGATATTCCTGCCAAAACTGTATAATCTGAATCTAATCATAAGGAAACATTGGACAAACTTAAATTGAGGGACATTTTGCAAAATAAATGGCCTGTGTATTTTTTTAAGGTGAGGTCATGAAAGATGAGGAAAGACTTAGGAATTGTTCCAGCTTTAAGGAGACTACAGAGATCAAACAACAACTCATTGCAATCTGGATTGGATTCTGGAGCAGAAAGAAAATTACTTTTCTTTAGGAATAAAGGATATTAGTGAGACACTGGGTGACATTTGAGTGGGATATGTAGATTAGAGAACAGTACTGTATCAGTGTTCATTTCCTGAATTTGATCATTGTACTATAGGTATGTAAGAGAATGAATTTGTTTGTAAGAAATATCTGCTCACAGAGGTAAAGGACATCATGTCTACAACATTCTCAATTGTTCAGTAGAGAGACAATACACACATACACACACACAAATGCATCCATATATTTACATATACAGAAAAGCATAAGGCAGAGGGGTGTTTTCAACA